CGGCCAGTCCGACCCCTTCAGCGTTCGGCTATCGTGGCTCATAGTTTCTTTCTTTCTTCGAGGCTAACACTTTGATTATATCGGAATTTATAATAAATTTATCACTTTACACGATGCAATCTCGTCCCACACTCAGCACGAGGTAGTCCACTTAGAGCACCCGCAGAAATAGCACCTGGCTTAGTCCACGAAGAGCACCTATTAACGCTATTCGTGGATTCAAAATTTTTACATTTTTGTCCCCGAACAGAGAGAACAAAATATCGATAGGTGCTCTTAGTGAACTAGGACAGATGCTATTCGTGCAGGTGCTATTTGGGCGGGTGCTCTAAATGGACTACGTCCTCAGCACAGCTTGTGTGTACCTAGATAGGTAAACATGCTTATATACGTGTTTCNGTATATACGTGTTTCGAAATACTTATGAGTGTGTATTATACATTGTAACAGTTTTGCTACTAACGCTCGTATTCACAAACGACTCTTGCTTAAGTGAAACAGAAAATCGAACGCACAGCGTTGAATAGAGCTCTGTGATTGGTTCGTGTGTCACCCTGTGCATCCACGCGCACTGTGAGACCTCATAGTAATGTTTGTGAATTCGGGCGTATGTGTTTATTGTACCTGTGGACTGTAGAAGTCCATAAATAGTATTATATTTACCAATACATGTCGTAGATATTAAATTACTAGCGGCCGCCCGCGACTTCGTTCGCGTGAACCCCGTTTTACCCCCTTAGGGAAGAAGTTTCGAGTTTTTTTAGGGGTTTCCCGGTAATTAATCGAACTTTTATCGCCGTAAAAACCATCCTTGGACTTCAACAAACATTTAAAAAAAAGAATTGGTAAAATTAGTCTAGGCGTTGTTGAGTTATGCGCTTACCAACACATTTTGCGATTCATTTTTATATTATAGATGTTATTATAATTAGTCAATGTATGAAATTTGATTTCATGTGTTTAAAGTTTTAAAAGAACGTTATTGGTGTGAAATATTTGTTTTTTTGTGTATTCATATTACATATTAATATATTAAATTAGTTGATTTAAATGCCTTTCATTATTATGATCACAAAAAATACATATTAAAGAATAGGTATAAGTGGGTACCTATTTAAAATTGCTATCGGGTTCGTATCAGACATGCATCATCAATATTTTTTTTATTTCAAAACGAGATTATTACCATCTCTCTTTTCCACCACTGCAACTCCTATGTAGCCAGGATTTACGGCATCTGACATCTTATTTTATTTCATAAGATGTCAGAATTTCAGCACATGTCAAGGCAACTTTTCTTATACAGGATAAAAACGATAAGTGATCTCCCTCGATTATTTCTAAACTATACAAGATATCAAAAAACTAGTTACTGATTCTGAAAGTGATTCATGGAATGAAATGAAACGGTATCAATAATAGGTTACAGAATAAACTGATTCTATCCGAAAACTCAATATTTCCAGCTTCCATACTAATTTAACGCCTGATACTATTAACTTTTCTTATTTTATCAACTAAAGACCTTCTTTGCTTTGCTTGCAATCTGAACTCAGCATTATTCTTTTTAAGAAATAAAAACAGGTTCTTCCCGCGACTTATTACCAGATCGTCGGTACACCTAGTAGAAGACCTGCCCACGCTACGTCTTCCAGACCGTGGTCGCCACTCGAGAACTTTTCTGCCCCAACGGCCATCGTCTCTACGAGCTATGTGCCCCGCCCACTGCATACTTGCATTTATAAGCAGTTTTCTATTTACAGGTGTACCAGCAAAGTACATAACATCGCGGCAAGGCTCTCAGATCCTTCTGTACAATGGGTATAAGTACTACAAGAAGATAGATACTAGAAAAGCGTATAGAACAGGGAAGACCAAGTGGATTTGCACGAAGAACACGCATTTCAAGTGCAACGCGCGACTCTTCACTTCTGAGGACCACATTGTGGAAATCAAGGACTTTCATAATCATAGCAGTTAAAATTTGAAGCTACGATATCATCATCATCTCAGCCACAGCACGTCCACTGCTGAACATAGGCCTCCCCCAATGCTTTCCATGTTGCCCGGTTGGTAGCGACCTGTGTCCAGCGCTTTACTGCTACCTTTATGGTCGTCTGTAAGCTACGATAGCCAAACAGTAAATAAACAAGTAAATAAATATCCTTGGACATTTTATACTGCGTCTCTAGTCCCAAAGCAAAGGAAGGATCCGACTTGAGATCAGAAGAACGCGGGTTTGAACTTCGTTGCCGCTTGACTATTTTCTCTTTAGGAGGGGTTACAAATTGTATTTCTAATTATGATGAACTTTTTTGTATACCTGAAATAACTTTTTAGTTATTTTGGCGATTAGTAAACAAAAAGTTAGCCAAAGTCGTCCAAGTCTAGAAAGAGACTTAAATAAAAAGACATATCTTTTTTTGACACGGATTTAATCAAAATAACCAAAAAGTTATTCCTGGTATACAAAAAAGTTCTCATAGTAAGAAATACAAAAGCGAAATTTCAAATAAAATAAATCAAGCAAGTTGTTTTAACATGTATTTTAATTAAAATACCAGATAAATATAATTAAAATTCCATCGAAACCAATTCTACTGTAGCGGAGTTATGGGCTGACACTGTATAGGTTTGTTGTTGACACGACAAGAAGAATAACTCCAGCCGTACAAATTATGGTAATATTTTGTTTCATTTTAGGTAAACCCGCGTATAAACGTATAGCCGCCTCCTTCAAAATCTCACGCAAGGGAAACCGAAACATATTCTACGAGGGGTATACGTTTTACAGAAAGAAAGATGCAAGGAAACGCGATATGAGAGAGAAGTGGGTTTGCAGTTTTCGCAATTGTAACGCGAGACTTTTTACGTTTAATGACTATATTGTCGAAATTAAAGAGGAACACTGTCATGATTGATGATTTATCATCATCATCATCATCATATCAGCCAAAGGACGTTCTCTGCTGAACACAGGCCTCCCCCAATGATTTCTTTAATGACAGGTTGGTAGCGGCCTGCATCCACTTCCTGCTACCTTTATGGAGGTCGTCGGTCCGCCTTGTGGGTGGGTGATTCATCAATGGAGGATTTTATGGAAGAAAAGAAAAAAATAGTTTATTCAGAGAAAAATAAAATGAATACAATGTAAAAATGAGTATCACTGAAAAGGCACACACTTAGCACTTAGCCAAAAATACATACAGTCGAACATAGAACCTCCTCTTTGGTGCCTCGAGTAATACTCGTAAAAGTGATAATGTAAATGTAAATGTAATGTAACAGTAATATTCACTTTATTATGGCGCAAGTACACTATGCGACAAATTTATCCAAGTCGAAGCGCTAGCGCACTCTGAAGTATGGGCGACACACGCGAGGAGGAAGGAGAAAGTAACCGAGATGGTGTTCACACTAACGTCTTGGCTAATTTCCCGCATAGTGTACTTGCGCCATAATAAAGTGGATATTACGTGTTCTAGTCTCATGCCATGAGTATTTTGGTTACAATAAAATTGTTTAACTGTTTTAGTCATAAGTATTGTTTGTGTTTATTTGAATAAAAGATTTGATTTTTCATAATTCACACATTTTTACATTTATTTCATTTTTTTTATTATGTTAAAAAATATGTTACTATTATCTTTTTAATTTTTTTATGTAGGCATTTACTTTCTACGTACATTCTAAGTAAATAATATGGTTTATTGGACTAATGTCCGTTTTCACCATCAATCCCTAATTTTTAAGTGACCCCTATGAAATCAAAATTCCTGTTATGTGAACCATAGGAGTCACTTAAAAATTAGGGATTGATGTCGAAAACGGGCATAAGATTCTCACAAGCTTCTGAACATTTTAATTTTTAATCAATAGTTAAAATGTTTTTACTGTATTGTTCAGAAAACGATGTTAACAAATTGTGTTATGAAATTGAATAGTAGTTCCTTCTTGTTTGTTTCTTTAATCAAAATATATAAAAGGAGAAACTGACTGACTGACATATAAACGCACAGCCTAAACGGCTAAACGTAGGCACTTGAAATTTGGAAGGGACGTAGCTTAGGTACCGTAGAGGTGCACTAAGAAAGGAATTCCCGAAATTCCCACGGAAACGAGCCCCTCAGCGGGTAAAACGGGATCCATGCGTACGAAATTATTTTCGAATATTAACTTGATTCTTTTTTACAGCTGTATTCGTGACGTCACGGAAAGGCAAAAGCCTGATCAGTCTTGGTGGCTACACCTACTACTACAAGAGAAAGCGTTTTGAAGAGGTCAAGAAGAGGTGGGTCTGTTCCACCAACTTCCATAGAGGATGCAAAGCTGTCATCTACACTATCCAGGATATAATAGTAGCTGCGAAGAAGGAACACAACCATGGCCCGAACTCTCGTTATTAAGTTATATTTAAAAAAATTCTGAAATGCTGCTCTAGTTTTCCTAGGGTAGAGTTTCCCTAGGGAGTTTCCCTAGCGTAGAGTTTCCCTGGGGTGGAGTTTCTCTAGGGTAGAGTTTCCCTAGGGTAGAGTTTCCCTAGGGTAGAGTTTCCCTAGGGTAGAGTTTCCCTTGGGTACAGTTTCCCTACGGTAGAGTTTCCCTGCGGTAGAGTTCCCCTATGGTAATATTACCATACGGTAGTTTCCCTAGGGTAGAGTTTCCGTATGGAGAGTTTCGCTCGTCATCGATACTGGAGTGACCCAGGCAGTTTTAGAATTTCATACATATTTGTCTTTTACATAATCTTTGACTTTACCTAATCTATTATAATAAATAACATTGTAATTATTAATTAGGCCATAAGTTCTGTGATAATTGTACATATAATATTATATTACTGATACGTAATTGATGTTTATTATTAACCTTATAAAATCTACCATCAAAGCCTAATTATTTTCTGCGTCATCTAGTTAAGTACTTCTTAGTTTGTATTAGAAATAAAGAAAGAAAAAAAAGGCAACTCCAAATTACATTAACCTTTTTGATTTAAGCAAAATACGTGGTGAAAACACAAGAGGGGAACAACGTCATAAGTCTTGGAGGATATTCGTACTACAGAGAAAAGTCTGGAAAAGAAAGACAGACTCGCAAAAGATGGGTGTGCGCCACACACCATGGTCGCGGCTGCCGTGGTATGATGTACACGGTGAAAGAAAACATTGTGGGGGTAAGGGAAACCCATAACCACGATTACGTCAACGAGTGCTTTGTTAGGATTGTGTTCAACCGTAGACGTGGTATTTATGTACCGCCATAAATTAGTATTTGAATGGGCACAATTTTATATTTTTTTAATTGTTTTTGGGCCTATTATGGTTCAAAATGAGGGTTATTCACCCATTCGACAACAGAGACACAAGTGTGTCCAGTTGGCGAAACTCACAACTCGGATCACTTAGGCTCGGCGGACACTACTGTGTGGGCGACTCGACACTATACAAAAAGTGGTGTGTGTGCGGCGCGTCTATACAAAATATATTAAAAAGTGTGTTAAGACGCCGTCGCTGGCCACCGGTGGCTGTGGTCGGTGGCCCATTTGCGCCAACACTCATTATTTCGCATAGTGTGGACACACTTGACGATGACGAATTAATTTTGAGTTTCACCAACTGGACACACGTGTGTCCAGTCTCTTGTGTCGAGTTGCTGAATAACCCCAAAAAGTGGGTGCAATATTCTAGTAAGTTTAAAATTTGGTAAGAATGTCTACCGTCAATTAATATTTTTTAAATAAGATTTTACTAGTGATTCTCGTAATTATTATAAACATTTTGAGGCATTATTATGAAATGGCACCCAAGGTTTTATAGCTTTAATCTTTTTTGAAAGTAGATTTATATTATAAAGCCAATTCGAAGGCGTTTCGTCCATTTTTATTCAAATCCAGTCTTGATTCTGTCCTTGAATTGAACGTCATTCTGTCCTTAAGTACTAAAATATTAATAAGTTTTATCGCAATTATCATAATACATATCTAGTCGTCTACTTTATAATCAATTTTGATCTCTTAAAAATGTGATTCTAAACATTATAGGAATACAAATTGTGCCAATGTCCAATTTAGGACATAATTTTGAAATATCTATACTTACTCGTATTTATTGGGATTATTGCATTTATAAAATTTGTAAAATTGTTCGTGGGTTTAACACTAGAAGTGCCGAAGATTACGACCCCCCTAAAAGCGCCGCTGGGTCAATTTTGTCCCAGCATGTATTTTGTAACATTTTTTAGTTTCAGGCATGAATATTATGGTTAAAACTATTTGTAGTATCCTTAAAAAAAGGTTTATCTATGTGGTTAAAACAATATGTACTTATTTCTTTAAAAATATAATGTATTCGATTTTAATTTGGAATTATTAAAATTTAGATATTTTTGGTTTCATCTAAAAATAGTCACATATTACGTGGTGGTATACTGTAATAAAATCATGAAATTACTACTTTAACTTGTCATTATTATTTTTAAAGAAAAAATAAATATCTTAAAAATAATAGTGCACATTTTGAACAAAGTTTTTTTTTATGGTTTTTTGTCTATCTGGTGTACTATGTGTTTAGGAATTTCTATAGGTATGGTTATTTTTCTGTTATCTGTACATAAACAATGCAGTTTTTGACGATTACAATGAAAAGTATGTACGTTTAATCTTCAAAATTTTATAAGTCAAACATTTTAAAAATGTATCAAATCATACAATGTATGAACTGGCTTATGTCTAGAGGCCATCTTCCTACTAATATTATCAGTGTAAAAGTTAATAAATATTGATGAATTGAAGGATGGATGGACTGATGAATGGATAGGATGGATGAATAGGTGGATATATGCCTGGAACATGAACTAAGTGAGTATGGATTCATGGTTAGATCGATGGATGTTTTTTCACTCTTTTACGCAAAAAATACTAAGCCGATCTTAATAAAACTTTGCAATTTTATTGTTAATACTTCAGAATAACATAAAATAGGCTATAATTTAGAATAATGTTCAGTTATTTGGTCAAAAATCAACGATAAGTGTCAAGAAATTAGGTCTTTCTATGATTGACTTAATTTCTCACAGGTGAAGTCACAGGCAAAAACTAGTACAATATATTTACATTTCTGCATTGTCACGAGTTACCTAAACTCTCCTCACCTCTCCACTTTCGTATCTCCTCGAAACAAGGACTCTTCATCGAATTATTGTGGCAAATACCAGGGTGGGACAAAATTGACCCAGTGGCGCTTCTAGGTAAAACCGATTTAAAAAAAAAATCAATTAATGTTATATTATCAAAAACATTAAAAAATGATAAAATTCAATAAATCAGAAAAAGTCAAAAAGTTTCATGGACTTTCGTTAAAAAATAAAAAAGTTAGAGCTGATCAAACTCGCTAGTGGGACAAAAATGGGACGGCGGCCTTTCTAGTGTTAATTCCCATCTGAGACAATCAATGATTTCAAATGAAAAGTCGCTTTTGATTAGTAGTTTTTAGGATTTGACTCGTAGTGTACAATTTTTGAACTATGTATACAACTTAATATTATAGACAGTAATATTGCTGAGCGAATGTATTTATTTTTATCGTGTGTAGCTTAATACCCATCTTTTAATCAGGTACAGTCGACAGCAGATATTATTATACTTTTGTGTTGAAAAATAGTTGAATAGATAAATTCTATATACAGTGACATAGCTTGATGTCTCGTACATATGCATGTATGAACATGAATAGTCACCCCTATCCTATAACGTGGTGAATAGAGGCATATTTGGCTGTCTGTTATGACGCATTTTAATTCAGAAAATTCAGCTAAGCTAATTAACTTTGACTTTGAACTGCCAAAGTTACAAAATGGCCAATTTTTCAATTAAATTTTAACCTTTTACAACGACTAAATAAAACTCAAAAGATATTGAGAAAATTCGCCAATTTGTACATAGATTCATGTACTGTCGACTGTGCGCGATCGTATATGTTTTTTCCCCATTCCATGTCTATCTATATTTTTAATACCTAATTACTTGTTTTCAGCCTTCTTCGTCATGTCTCAAAGAGGGAACAACCTTATAAGTCTTGAAGGCTACACTTACTACCACAAGAGGAACGAGCGAGACAAAAACCAAAAGAAAAAGAGATGGGTATGTTCCACCCACTTCTGTCGGGGCTGTCGAGCGGTGCTGTACACGGTTGATGACGTCATTGTTACGGCGAAGAAGGACCATAACCATGAACCTACTTTGAATAACTTTAGGATCCCATTATAGGGGCTATTGAAGATATTTTATATACTAGTCTTTATTATTATTATTACCTAGGTATGAATTTTAATCCGTTTATTACGTTTCTTTCTGTGATGGGAAGAACTTCACGCAAGCAAATCCGCAAGAAGACTATACGAGTAGGAAGTTTGTATTTTGTATTATGGAAATTACATAAATCACTGGGAAATTGTCTGTACTTAATACTACGAGAAATTGCAGTGAAATTATCAATGAAAGGTCATAATACGGTCTATTTACCATATTTTACTTTCAATGAAGATTATATCAAAATTTTCGATTTTGAGTTTTATTTCGAATGTATTGAAACTTTGGTTGAACCTTTGCTTTCTTTTTATTTGAACCCTTTGGGTCGATGCCTGAAAAACAATCTTTTGATCTCAAAAACATTACATATTTGTCTTTTTATACAAAAATGAGAGTTTTAAAGACATTCCCATATTTATTAATTTAACCTCCTGTGCCGCTCGCATACCTCAGGCACTGACTCATTAAACCAGATTAAATACAAATGAGTAGGTTATCTTCATAGAAACATGTACACCTCTTCATCTTCATCTTCATAGTTTGTAACTATGTGAGCGCGCCAATACGTATGCGGCGCGCACGCACACACTGACAAAATTTAACGTGGATTATCTGGGAGTTGCGCCGAATTGGCGCGCTCATATACAAACTGCGCTCGGTGCGTTTATATGAAGATAACCTAAAGTGCTTGTAGCTTAGTAGCACACTGATAGTAATTACAAAATTTGAGCAATCTACCTACCCAAAAGAGAAGTCATAAGCCCTTTTACAGATTCTACTTTTTTTTTTGTTTCTTTACAGATTTGAAACCAATCTTCGGCACTTCCACGCAAGGGAATCCGATCATAATACTGGATGGATACCGCTTCCGATTGAAACGGGATTCCAGGATAATCCACAGCGAAAACGACAGATGGGTGTGTTCCACCATGAAGCTAGGGTGTAAAGCCAAATTGACTACGGTGAACAACGTCATAGTGTCATATGACGCTGTCCACAACCATCCCAGAAATCGGAAACTGGGCAGAAAAAGAAAACCTGTGGAAGAAGATTCCGAATCTAATTGACTGTTGTAATTTAGAAGTTTAAAGGTCATAGCAAACTTATCAACTTGGAAAGGGATAGTCAAAGTCAAAATATCTTTATTTGTTTAGACTAATAAATAGTACTTACAAATCGTCAAATATTTTGCTCTTAAGGAGCCTCTACATGTCTCATAATCTTTTTACCCTACCAGCGCTTCGAGACCAACATTTGGCAAGTGCTGAGAAGAAGCGCCGCTATAAACTCAGTCACCACTGTCTGCCGGTAAATAAATAAATAAATAAATAAAGGATCAACACCGTATCGCCATTCGCGAGCTGTCATCGCCTTTCGGGGGCTGTCAACCGCGGGGCGAGGCGTTTACGTTACGTACGGTGCGGATAAGGTGTGCGTTGCAGTATGAAGTTTCATATAAGGAATACTGACCGCCTCGAGTTGATACGGTTACGATCCGTTTCCGGGTTGATAAATGTGCTACATCCTACAGTCTGAGTTGCACTATCTTAGTTGTCACGTCAAAAATCTGTCAATCTTTATACAAAAAATACCAGTTATTGTTATAGTTACGGTTAAAATGAGGTGGTGCAAATGGGGCTAAGTTTCTTTGTTAGGGACGTTAAAGTTTACGTCAAAAATGTTGTGAATATGGAAGCCTATAGTTTGTTGTTAGTTTTCTGAATGTAACTTCGCGTTTAAAATTAAGGCCCATCTTGAAACGACGCTTGAAAATCGACTGAAACTTGAGCACAGATTTAATTATGTATTTTAATGCTTAGAGACCAATCATGAACTGAATGTAATCTGCCGGCTTATGATGCGCGCCGTGATATAATCTTATCGTCAATTTTAGACTAATGTATGGGCTTATCGTGCAGAATCGATAAAAACCGATATAATGGCGCGCATCTTAGGCTAGCTGGTATGTATACAGGGTGTTAGGTAAATGGGTATATGAGCTGACACTAGCCCATGTTAACATATGCATATAAATGGTATGGTGAAGTCAGAAAATTGATGCCTCCATTTTAATTTTTTAAATGTTCATACAAAATAAAATTTGTAAAATCAGATTTGTATGAAAATTAANCTTAAGGGTTAAAATAATTAAAATGATGATATCAATTTTCTGACTTCACCATACCATTTATATGCATATGTTAACATGGGCTAGTGTCGGCTCATATACCCATTTACCTAGCACCCTGTATGTAGATAAAAAGTTGAGTGTTATTTCAGCATACGGGCCTTATAGTTGCTATTGATATGTATACAGATGTTTATTTCGTTTTGATCAACAGGTTATTACGGAAAGTCACGTTGAATTTGATATCTCTTTTCTATCAATCTTCCTTTTATTGACTAGTCTTACTGTGAATCTACCTGTGTATTGGCAATAAAAAATGTTTCTATTACCTTTTACTTATTTAATACCTGAAATTCACAATTTTTTTTTTCGGAGAGTAATTACGTGGGATCTTTCACTTATTCCCGTATTCACAAACATTACTATGAGGTCTCACAGTGCGCGTGAACGCGCAGGGGACACACGAACCAATCACAGAGCTCTTTTCAACGTAGTGCGTTCGATTGGTTGCTTCACTTAAGCAAGCATCGTTTGTGTATACGGGCGTTAATTTTCTTGAAACTGTGAGCAACTAATGTTATTTTGTTTAAAGGTGTTTTTCTTTGCGTCACTGTGCCTTTAGACTATTTGATTTCGATTCAAGATTGCGAACGTTTTGCTACGTATAAAACAGTAAATGCGACTGTTTCGAATCGATATCGAACTCTATGAGTTTATACNTATAAAATCAAACGTCGTCACTAGCGAGCACGTTAAAATATAAATAAAGATTTAGTTTTTGAAAGTTTCCGCTAGGGGCGCTGTACAATCCGTCATTAAATGACACTTTTTTTACGCAATCGACGTAAACACACTACGCCCCCTGTTCGGGACTACTCACACCAATATTTTTATTGCTTTTACCTAGTAAGTAACCATGACAAAAATAAACTTGAAGAAGGTTTTATTCCAAATTAGTATATTTTATTTCAGGTTCACCACAGATCTACCCTGTCATATCTAAGAGAGGGATGCAAGTCCTCTGCGTGGACGGATACAGGTTTTCTATGGTGAGGGATAAGAACTGCAAAAGCGCCAAAATTCGCTGGAGGTGCTCCACTCATAGGAGTCTTGGCTGCCAAGCCCTAATGCATACTATAGAAGGGCATATAGTGTACTTAAGGAATGTACACGTACATCCACCGACTATGGACTCGATACAAGATGAAGACGCCTGGCGTGAATAGCCTTTAGTTGTTTAAACCTCTTATTTATTGGGAAATAAATATCTTACTTTCTTATTTACTTTACTCAAATGAACCTTTACTATTGTTGTAAATGCGGAAGTAATTATTTTTATCAAGATGCTAATAAATGTTACTTAAAAGTGGGAGTTTTTAAAAGGAGGACTTCGGTCAGAGAAATCTCACAGGTCTGTCATTCCATTTTTTCTCAAATTAATTGTTATTTTGGTAAAAATAAACTATTTTTATACAAGATGTGCGATAAAAACTGTCTGCGACAGAACAAAATCAGGGTCTGGTAATACCGCAAATAATCTAGTTTAGAATACATAGACATAAACGACAATAATTTATTGGTGTACTTATCTAAAGTATATACCTATGTTATATTATATCTAGTTTCCAGATACAATAATTTCTTAATTTAATCTTTTTTTTCTACGTTATATTCTTCGACATCAATTGTCAAACTTGAAATAAATTATATTTATTTATTCATTAATTCAGCGTTTTCTTATTTCCTTTTAAACTTTTTCATTAACTGCGCAATGGCATATGATATTTATGAAATTATCTAGCATTTAATAAAACATCTATAAAATAAAGAGTACATTTTTTTCTTGCTTGCTTTCTTCTAGTTTAAATGAAATCAAAGTTACATTACAATTAAACATAAAAAAATAGAACTCTTCATATTTTTATTTTATTTAACAAAATATCTTACAGATAGACATCTTATAACGATACAACCAGCACCGTTATTCACAGAAAAAAACACCAATTAGGTATCCTGATTAAATCCTATAAATTTACAGGACCTTGGGATTACCACATCGAGCGGTCAGCGAAAGGGAAGAAAATCATGGTGGTAGCAGGCTACAGGTTCTCCAAAGACAAGAGCTACGCCCACGGGGGGCAGAGGTGGAGGTGTGCTCAGCATAACAGTGGATGCAGAGCCTCCGCAGCCACCAAGGATGACCAGATCGTCAAGCTGAATAACATGCACAACCATCAAGTCATCAAGAAGTTTGCCATGGAAAGTTATAATTTGCTACGTTAGGGCCAATCCAAATAGGGCATTTGACAGCACCAATCAATTGACGTAATTTTTAAAACTGTCAAAACCAGACTCTCCCATGGATTTTGTATGGCAAAACTAGGTAGTGACGTAACTATTTTGTCAACTCAATTAAACGACTTTTATTAATTACAATGCAACCAATATTCTTAGGCTAAGTTGCACCACCTAACTTTAACGGTAACTATGACGATAACCTTCGTTTTTGTATGGAGTTTGACAGATTTTTGACGTTTTTCAAAGTTTAAGTAAGATGGTGCAACCCAGCCTTAATTCACGGGTAATAAATTAATTAAGTTTTTTGGACCAGAATGAAGTGTCTTTTAAAAAAGTTGTGCTTTAGAATTATTGGGGAATGGTGTCAAATACCTACTCAATTAGAAATCGGGAGTTGGTTCCAATCCCTGACGCCTAAATGTACATAAATCTCTTTAATACTGTCTTTCTGTGATGTGTCCAAAAATGTAAATAGCTTTTGTATATAACATGTTATGAACTGTCTTATTAGTGGCATACATCGTCCATCGCTAAAGAACTTGTTATAAACTATGTATTATACTGTGTTATTATGCTACGAGTACATACTCTATCACCTTACAATATCAATTAGGTTTCTTTTTTATGATTTACACTCATCAAGTATGTTCTTTCTATCCTTCTTTATTTCTTTCTTATTTCATTTTTGGATTTAGGCAAGTGCGAGTCACACTGTACTTCTAAAATAAGGATTTTCTTTAGGAAATTTAGTTTTTAGTTGAAAATCTACGGC